CCACTCACCTCAGCTTCCCAAAGGCACAGGATTACAGGCTGAGCCACCGAGCCTGGCTTAGAGACGAGATCTTGCTATGTAACCCAGGCTGACCTCAAACTCCTGGCTTCAGGTGCTCCTCCTGCCATGGCCTCCCAAAATGCTGGGATTACAGGTGTGAGCCACCGCACCCACCTGGCAGGAAGGACGGTTTACAGAGGTGTGGGCAAGGTTCGGGGAACCAGGAAGAATGTGGAGGTGCCCACAGGAGACTGGTACCACCCCTGGGCTAGAGGGTCAAGAGGAAGCAGCAGGAGCTGCACAGAAGGGCTGCATCATGGAGGGACAAAGCCACTTCCTGAACTGTGGCTGGCACTGTGGCAGAAGAGTGAGGGACAAAATGCCCCATCCTCTCATCCCCACGCCCCACCTCCTGCCACTGGCTGCCATTAGTCGACCCATCTGAAGCCAGAGGGGGCTCAGGGACTGCAGTTCTCAGGGCTCAGCCTCTTGGGGCGCAGAGAAAAGTGCAGTTTGAATCTGGGCAGAGGCTGGGACGGGAGCTAATAGAAAATAGCTGGCACACGTATAGAAAAAAATATACATGAGGGGGAACCCCCAAAACCCAGTTGTCTTTTGGAGGGCAGGCCCCTTGTAGTAAACTTGAAATCTGTTCCCCTGGATCAAACAGCCAATCAAAGCTGTAACCTGGAAGGTTTGAGAAGGTTGTCATGATTTGCGGAGGAAACGTCCTGAGTTGTGACAAGCAGGTGACTGGTTCTTCCGTCATGCTCACACACTGACCCACACCGTGCTGAGTGTTCAGCAGTTTTGGACCCAAAAAGCATGATCCTCCTGCCCCACCCTCCCTATTCACCTGATCTCACCCCTAGTGACACTTTTTTGTTGTGTCCCCCGATGAAAAAACTCCTCAAAGGGAAACGTTTTGCTGATGTGGAAGAGATGAAACAAAAAACGGCAGAAGCCCTAAAAGGCATCAAAACTGATCCGAATTCAAAAACCGTTTTGAGCAGTGGAAAAGCGTCTCGATGGGTGTATTGCATCAAACGGAGAGGACTTAGAAGGTGACTGAAGTTGAAACGTGTTAAGAGTAAACACACAATTTTTAATAAATTCTGGGTCCCCCCATGTATACATAATATAGATAACTGTTTTTGAGAAGGAGATGTTATTATTTTTCTTTGCAGAAGAAACTTGAGGGAAGCCCCCTACGGAGATGCCGACGGCCTTCCTGGCTGTTGCTGCCCCGACACTCATGTTCCTTAGCCCTCTTCCTCCTGACCCACAGTCACCGATTTCACAGAATCCCTTAAGCCCATGAGATAGGGTAGCAATCCTGCTTCCTGCTGAACTGAGTTGCCCTTTGGAATGTATTCGGCCTCCAATGCTTCATTATCCTTTCATGCCTTCGTGAAGATAAAAACCATGTGCTTATTCTCCACCCCCGATTTTTATTCGCCCCTGTTTGAATTTCTTCAGTGGCTGTTTTCTACAGTGGTAGAGATAGGTTGGCTGAGTCAGAACGAAGTTTCTTAGAGGAAATGAAGAACGGAGCCCTTGAGCCTCAGGAATAAAGGGAACCTTTGGCCTCTGATGAGTCCTGCCTGGAAGGGCAAGCTGCTTGGCCGGCCCCGCTTTATGATGCTGTGGCAGCATGTGCTATGTTCACATTATGGTTATGGGCTGCAGCTCTGTCAGGAAGCCTGTGAGTACTAATTAAGGGGCCCACTATAGAGTGGCGATGCCACACAGCACATTTTTTTTTGAGGCGGGGTCTCACTCTGTTGCCCAGGCTGGAGTGCAGTGGCACAATCACAAAGATCACCGCTTATGGCAGCCTCAACCTCCTGGGCCCTCACACCACTGTTTCATCACATCTTGTACGCAATTTCTGTGTTGCCCAGAGCTTCTGGTAGGGACAGCTGTTGACAGGTACTATTAAGACCACCTAACTTGTGACCTCTACAGAGTTCCAACTTTGGGCCCTAAGTATGATCTCAGTCATTGCTGCCTAGTGTGGGATTAGAGTACCTTAGAGAACATGCTGAGTATGCTTGTGACACCAATAGGCCACTGGGAAGCGTAAGCCGTCTGCACTATTTTGTTAAAACCAATGAGTTTTTATCTCTGATTATTTAGGAATTTATAACTATATTTTTCAAAATATTTTACTTAAAATACAAAAAAAAAAAAGATTTTATTTTGGCAGGGAAGGTGGCCTGATTACAAGACTATGCATTAGCACTGGTCCCTGGCCCCATCCGTTATTTTAGCATCTCAGGTTTCTAGAAAGAAACCTGCTTTTTTCCAAAGTCTTTTCACCTTGGTTTTCTCCAGGGTCTGGGTTTTTTTTTTTAATTTAGTAAGAATATTGTTCCTGATTATTTATTCCTAGTTGCAGATATAAAACTTTTCCACTAATTAATAGTTTGTGTATGGTCTCCATTTTTTTTTTTTCTTTGAGTTGTGGTCCCATTGCTCAGGCTGGAGTACAGTGGCATGATCACAGCTCATCGCAGCCTCAACCTCCTGGGCTCAGGTGATCCTTCCACCTCAGCTTCCCAAGTAGCTGGGAGTACAGGTGTTTGCCACCATGCCTGGCTAATTTCTTGCTTTTTATTGTAGAGATGAGGTCTTACTATTATTGTCTAGGCTGGTCTGGAACTCCTGGGTTCAAGCGATCCTCCTGCCTTAGCCTCCCAAAGTGCTGAGATTATAAGCGTGAACCAGTCACGCCCAGCCTCATCCACACATTTAACCCAACAGCAGGTTTTGTCAATTCTGTGTTTAATTCTTTTGGAAATGGCTTACTTCTCTCCAGGGTCATGGCCTCAGTCCCAAAAGCCTAACATCATTTCCAGCCAGAATTGCTGTAGTAGCTCTAACAGGTGTGCTCGGGTTTACCCGTCCCCCACCAGTCCCTTCTCCACAAGTCAGCAGAGTGATGCTGCCCCTCCCTTGCAGGGAGAGAAAAACCAAAGTTCTTATCGTGATTTACAAAGCCCTATGCAACGTGGCACCCACCCACTTCCCATTAATCATCATAATACTGTCAAGCCAGTCCTCAGTTCTTTGAACTCCCTGAAATTTCTCAGGATGTTTGCATCCCCAGTTTTCTCTCCTTGGAACGCTTCTCCCTCAACGTCTCACATGGTTGCCTCCTTTTGGTCCTTTAGGCCTTAGCTTAACATCACCTCCTCAGAGAAGCTTCCTCTGACTGCCTTACCTAAAATGGGTCCCTTGTGGTTGGGCACAGTGGCTCAAGCCTGTACTCCCAGCACTTTGGGAGGCCGAGTTAAGGGGACTGCCGGAGCCCACGGGTTCGAGAACAGCCTGGGCGACTTGGCAAGACCTCGTCTCTGCAATAAATCAAACAATTAGCCGGGTGTGGTAGCACGCACCTGTAGCTCGGGCTACTGGAAGGCTGAGGCTGGAGGAGTGCCTGAGCTCAGCAGGTTGTCGCTGGGGCGGTCGTGAGCATGCCACTGCACTCCAGGCTGGACAGCAGAGTGACTCCAACTCATAGTATTTCTCATAGTATTTGCCATATTTATAGTAGCCCCTCTTTCCTCCTCTGTCTCATCCACTAGAAGTGGAGACCACATGAGGGCAGGAAGCATGTGCTTTAACTCTTTCTCCAGAACAGCACACCACAGGGATTTGTTCAATGAGTGACTTTTCATTTAATCCTTACCTCTAGTTAAGACCCCACTTAACAGATGAAAAAAACTAAGGCTTAGAAAAATTAGAAACTTAACTCCAGGTCACAGTTCAAAGACTTAGACCCGGGTTTGACTGATTTCAAAGCCTGTGCCCCCATACCTTTAGCACTTTTATCTTACCTATTAAACTTGTACTGAAACACCAGACTAAGTACAAAAAGCAGCATGACTGTTAAATCTCAGGGTGACCTTGGAGAAGTTTCAGGATTAGTCATTCAAAATCACATTTATGGCTGGGTGCCGTGGCCTATGCCTATAACCCCAGTACTTTGGGAGCCCAGGGCGGGATGATTGCTTGAGGGTAGGAGTTCAACACCAGTCTGGGCAACATAGTGAGACAGCCATCTCCACAAAAAAATGGGAAAAAAAAGTTGGACACAGTGGCACAGTGGCCTATAATGTCAGTTACTTGGAAGGCTGAGGCGGAAGGATCACTAGAGCCCAGGACTGAGCTATGATTGTTCCACTGCACTCCAGCCTGAGCAACAGAGAGAGTTCCTGTCTCTTAAAAGATAGTTTAAAAATTGGCCAGGTGCAGTGGTTCACGCCTGTAATCCCAGCACTTTGGGAGGCAGAGGTGAGAGAATCACCTGAGCCCAGGGGTTCAAGACCAGTCCAGGCAACTTGGTGAGACCTCGTCTCTACAATAAATCAAAAAATTAACTTGGTGTGGTAGTGCATGCCTGTAGTTCCAGCTACTTGGAAGGATGAGATGGAAGAATCACCTGAGCCCAGCAGGTTGAGGTTGTGGTGGCCGTGAGCATGCAACTGCACTCCAGTCTGGGCGACAGAGGCTCCAACTCAACAAAAATTAATAATAAATAAATGATGACATTTATCTTTTTCTTGTTGATTCTTTATAGAGTAACAGAGAAACCCCTTAACCTGAAGGCAGTTTAAACAGATCTTTGATCTACCTAAGTTTTGGTGACTATTAACTATACCACAGAAGGTAGATTTCTTATGACATCACTCTGGAACAAGCTAGTATTACTGACAGTTTTTTTTCCAGTTTCATCAGATTGTTAGTTCTCAAAGCACTCAAAACAGCTTTACCTCATAAATTAAAACTTGATGTTGAATAAAACGACTGGCTAAGGCACAGCGTGATAGCTCATGCTTGTAATCCCAGCACTTTGGGAGGCAGAGGCGAGAGAACTGCTGGAGTTTAGGGGTTCGAGACCAGCCTAGGCAACTTGGTGAGACTTCGTCTCTGCAATAAATCAAAAAATTAACTGGGCACGGTAGCATGCACCTATAGTTTACAATAAAAAAAAATAACAACCTGGCTGTGGTGGCATGTTCCTGTGGTTCCAGCTACTTGGAAGGCTGAGGCAGAAGGATTGCCTGAGCCTAGCAGGTCGAGGCTGTGGTCGCCATGAGCATGCCACTGCACTCCAGCCTGGCTGACAGAATGAGACTCCGACTCAAACAAACTACTGGCTAATACTAGGCTCTTTAGAGATTGTGGAAGTTACCATACACTGCCAGTGTTCACTGGGGTAGCAAAAGATCCTTCTATTTCATTGATTCAACCAGACACTGTACTAGCTAATAATATTGAATACTTGTGCTGTTTCAAATGTATACATAAATTCACATCTAATCCTCACAAATCAGGACAATATATCACTGTCTTCATTTTATCAACTGGCAAACTGGGACACAGGTTCAGTAACTTGTTCTGGTCACATACTTAATGGCTCCATTCAGTGCTCTGAAAACTGAATTCAAATACAGATACAAGTATCAGCAGCATCAAATGGCAGTGAGATGTGATAGGGTCACAAGCATAAAGTGGAAGAGGCATGATAATTTATACGGAACTGGCTAGAAGGGGCCATAGAAAGTGCATGTTCTTAAGGCATTCATCATATAGGAAGGTGACAAAGGCAAAAAGAAAGAGAAAGAAAAGGGGAAGAGGGAGGGAGGGAAGGAGGGAAGAAAGCCAAACCAAATTATGGTAGATGCTCAATAAATACTTGTTTCATCAATGAATAAAGATAACTCTGACAACAGCATTAAAAAGGCTTTTCATTTCATATTTATTATCAGTGCTTTCAATACAGAATGTTTCGTAATGATAAGTGACATTGTGGACACCAGTAGTATTTTTTCAACATGAAGTGCCAGTCTTTTCTGGTAAATACTGATTTTCCCCAGCAAAATAACCATACCTAACACAATTTCAAGAGATACCATCAGCAATAATAACCCAAATTACAAAAATGGCAATACTTAAAACCATGCGTATTTCACCATTGCACAAAACTTTTAAAATTTCTACAAATGTTCCCAGTGTAAAAAGACTCCTCAAAAACTGCATAACATCAAACTACAAAATTCACTTTGGAAAAGTAGGGAGTTATTTTTCTAATTTTGGATTTAAGATTTTGTTTTTAAAATTGTTAAAAAATATGATGAGGAGTGTATCGAGAGAGGTGGAGAAAAAGGAGCTTCCAGTTGATGGATTCAACATGTCTGAAAACACTTCAGTTCATGTAAAGGGAAAACTTCGAGAATAAGGATATATTATAAATAAGAGTCTTTCAGCAAGATGAACAGATGAGCAGTTCTTGCATCAATTGCATCCATGGGACAGAGGTCTTCTTGAAGACTGCCTGTTTATAGAATCTTCTGTAAAATAGAGTTGACTGCCTCCAATGATTCATCTTGTACTAAAACAATATCATAAGAGTCCATATACTTTTCTAAAAGCTCATCCACCTATTCAAGAGAAGAACAAAAATAAAATTAACATATGGGAAGAAGAATCAAATAATTTCAGTATGAATCTCATTGTTATGTTAGATCTGTTAGACAAAATGTAGTAAATTAAATTCACTTTCAAAAAACCTTTGAAATGAAGAAATACTTTCAACCTTTGAAGACCTATGGACAGAAATGTTTCCACACTGTAGCTTTTCTCCCCAAAATGATCTCTCTCCAGTCCAGTGATTTGTCCAAGGAACGTCTGGCAGTGTCTTGGGACATTTTTAACTCTCATGACTGAGGAGTGCTTCCCAGGATCTACTGGGGAGAGGACAGAGAGCCTCCCATAGAGCACGAGCACATACCCTCCCTTCCCCAACACGTGCAGCAATCATCTGCACAGACATCCCTTTCATCCTCACCAAAGTAAAGGGGTAAAGAACAATCAAAAGCCTCGAAGATGACTACTTTCCCAGGCACCTTTGGCAAGAATTACCTATGAAGTTTCATCCGAACATAATCTTAGAAGAAAAGTAAATTACAGATTTGTATACTTACTCTATCATTTAGATATCCAATTTTCAGAATGTGTTCAACATTGGCTACTCCATCCGCCATTCTTAAGTCTCCTTGGGAGTCTCCCAGCAAAATTATGTTGCTATTGTCTTTTAGTTGATTGAAATAGCCTGTATTCCTCAAGGCACCATCATGTTTGTTAAATACATGAATTAGTTCTCCTTTAAATCCTTTGAGCACCCCCTATTAAAAATAAAAATCTTGTAAAATAATAGGTTTTGAAAATCCTGCTGAATTTTCATATTTTAGAGCTTTCAACAGGTGTCACTATTATTTCATCATATTTGTAAATTTATGTTTGACACCAGGGGTCTCAAAGTACTGAGGTCATCGCATTGATTAGAGGTAAGAAGGGCTCTGAGAAATAGATGACTTATTAGAGACTCCTTGAAGTGGTAAAACTGAGTGGAAAACTCAATTTTCACTTTTCATTTTGTTCCTAACTTAAAGATTCCATTTTATGTATTTCATTATACACTGTCTTGATTAGAAAACCTTGTTCAAATAATGTCAGTTCTAATTCAATTCTTTTTTTCCGACTACGAATGTTAAGTCTTCAGAGCTGGTGCATTAAATTACTTTAAAAGAAGTTTTACTAATTTCATTACTAGTTTATAGCTTGAAGAATGAAAGCTTAAAAAGAGTATATTGTTTCTAAAATAATATGGATATTAGGGAGGGAGATTGAGAAGGTGGGGTAGGGGGAAAAAATAAAATAAAATAAAATATGGATATTGGCCAGGCTCGGTGGCTCAGCCTGTAATCTCAGCACTTTGGGAGGCCGAGGCTGAGTGGATTGCCTGAGACTGTGGGTTTGCCAGCCCGGGCAACTTGGTCAGACCTCGTCTCTACAATAAATCAAAAATTAACTGGACATGGTAGCACACACCTGTAGTTCCAGCTACTTGGGAGGCTGAGGTGGATGAACTGCTGGAGCCCGGCAGGTGGACGCTGGGGTGGCCATGAGTGTGCCACTGTACTCCAGCCTGGGCGACAGAGTGAGACTCCAACTCAAAAAAAAAAAAAAAAAGCCAGGCGCGGTGGCTCAAGCCTGTAATCCCAGTACTTTGGGAGGCCAAGGCAAGAGGACTGCCTGAGCCCGCGGGTTCAAGACCAGCCTGGGCAACATGGTGAGACCTCATCTCTATAATAAAATCAAAAAAATCAGACGAGTGTGGTAGTGTGTGCCTGTAGTTTCGGCTACTTGGAAGGCTGAGGTGGAAGGATGGCTGGAGCCCAGCAGGTCGACACTGGGGTGACCCGTGAGCATATCACTGCACTCTAGCCTGGGTGACAGAGAGAGACTCCAACTCAAAAAAAAAAAAAAAAAAAAAAAAAAATCTATCTATCTATCTATCTATATAAAAATATGGATATTAACCCTGGGAAAGTGAGGACCCCCATGGTAAGCCAATCAAATCAACCTAGCCTAATTTAATGAATATACATTAAATCATAACAAGTAAATGAATATGATTACAATATTTTAAAAGTAATGAAAAAGAATGATCTGTCAGGGAAGGGGGGGGTCACACCTCATCAACAAGGGTACCTGCATAATGAACATTTTCATATCCAACCCTCATTGTACTCCATATCTTTAAAATAAAAAGAATGATCTGATACTCTTACATTTTCATCAAAATCCATGAAGTTGGACACGACTTTAACATTTGGATAATAAACACCAGCTTGACTGATAATCTCTTCTAGTACATCACCAATGCCAGCCGAAAATATGAACAACGGGATATTGTATTCTTGGAGCTTATCAAAGAAATTCTCATAGCCTTCCCTGCAAGATGGAGGTACAAACTGATTGGTAAAGAGGAAGATACAGCTCCATTTCACTGACAAGTTTTAAAAGTGAAATATTTTTTACCTAATGCTATGGCTCACTTATATTCTAATTCAAAAATACTGCCCGGCCAGGTGCAGTGGTTCAAGCCTGTAATCCCAGCGCTGTGGGAGGACAAGGCAAGAGGACTGTCTGAGTTCAGGGGTTCGTTGACCGGCCCAGGCAACTTGGTAAGACCTTGTCTCTACAACACATCAAAAAATTAGCCAGACGTGGTGGTGCACACCTGTAGTTCCGGTTACTTGGAAGGCTAAGCCCTTGGGTTCGAGAATGACCTGGGCAAATTGGCAAGATCTCATCTCCACAATAAATAAAAAAATTAGCCAGGCATGGTAGCACGGGTCTGTAGTCACAGCTACTTGGAAGGCTGAGGCAGAAGGATTACCTGAGCCCAGCAGTCCAATGCCAGGGGGGCCGTGAGTGTGCCACTGCACAACAGCCTGGGCAACAAAGTGAGACTGACTAAAAAAAAAAATTGCCCAGGAGGGTTGTTGTTGATTTCTATACTACTACAAAGTTTTTCAGCTTTTTAACCTTCCTTTAATCAATTTTAACAGTACAAACTACAGGTTTTTAGACTCAAACTAGATGCTTTAGACTCATATCGATACGAATATAAGCCTACAGTTCACAATTTACACCATTTAAAAATAGGTGTGGTGGCATGTGCCTGTAGTCCCAGCAACTTAGGAGGCTGAGGAGGAAGGATCGCTTCAACCCAGGAGTTCACGTTCAGCCTGGGAAACACAGCAAAACCCTGTCTCTAAAATGAAATTTTTAAAAACAAAAAACAAAGTCACACTTTGAAAATCCCACTTCGGATGAGGCGAAAGGCCACCTGCTGGCCACGCTGATCATCTGCTCTCTTGTAAAGAAAGCTGGCAAGAACGCAGCTGCATTCTCTACATGTAGCACCTCTCCTTCCTAAGATCATCAAACTGTTTTTTTACTCTTCCTGGGCAATAGGTTACATAAAGCTGTTGCTGCCAAAAGGAATGAGAGACTTGCTAGCTGTTTGCACTCTGACAATTTAATACTTTCTTCCTTAGAGGTCATCACCTTAAAATTCAGCATCATCCATATTTGCCCAATGAGGTGAGACTTTTAAGAAGTGGTAAAACAGTATTGAAGATAAGCTTATGGCCTCCTGTATCTTATGCATGCATTACAAATATTTTAATTATGTGCTCAAACACATTAATATTTCCTAGAACTAGCTTTAAGTCTGACAATTCAGGAAGTAGATTCATGTAAACTTAGAAATAGAATACTTAGCTAAATCCTTTTCAATTTAATTTATACATTCCTTTCATATTTGTCTTGCAGATAAGTATTTTGCTAATCATTTTTTTAATGGGTTTGGTTTAAAAAATTTATGGCTGGGCGCAGTGGCTCAAGCCTGTAATCCCAGCACTTTGGGAGGCCAAGGTGAGAAGGTTGCCTGAGCCCATGGGTTTGAGAACAGCCCGGGCAACTTGGTGAGATCTAGTCTCTACAATAAATCAAAAAATTAGCCAGGCATGGTAGCATGCGCCTGTAGATCCAGCTACTTGGAAGGCTGAGGTGGAAGGATTGCCAGAGCCCAGCAGGTCGACACTGGGGTGGCCATGAGCGTGCCACTGCACTCCAGTCTGGGCAATGGAGTGAGACTCCAACTCAAAAAAAAAAAAAAGAAAAAGAAAAAATGTATAAGTTAGTCCAGAAATGTTTAATCTGGAGAAAGGAAATACAATACTTATATCTCATAAGGATCCTAGTGCCTACACCAAGATCTAATATGTCATTCTAAATTCCTTATCTTACCCCTATCTATTTTATGACATAGGTAGCATATTTTGGATAGAATACTGTATACCTTAATAAAAATATACAATTGAACACATATGTAATAATAGTTCAAGTCTGTAAACAATAACAACAAAAAACACCCAAGAAACTTACTTGAGCATAACATCAGATTCTGCCACAATTTCTTTAAGTTTAGCTTTTGGTAAAGCTTGTTCAACAAGCAAACCATGTGATTTAGTATACCTGGAGTTTAAAAAAATAGTATAAATTAAGCAAATTGAAACTATTATCTTTATTACAAAGCATTCTTCAGTGTGGGAAAATGAGTTTTATTCATTATATTTGGATTTACATTTTAGAGATTCAAATTCATCACTAATGAATACCTCATGTGTCTAAAAGAATATGTATGTTCTTACTGCATTTCCCAGTTCTCCCAAACTCGGGCTCAGTTTAAATATGTTAATAAGGTAATGAAAGGAAACTAGCTGTAAACCTTTCCTCAGTCTACAGACAAGAAGTCAATCCATCCTAGGAAGGCATAGTCATTTCTCTGATTGCAATAAGAAGTAGAGCAAAGCCATTTCTTATCTGTTTGTAGTTGATATTTTCATGAAATGCCTACATACTGAAGTAAGCAAGAGAGAAAATTCTTGTTATGGAAAGTGTTATACAAGAGGCTGGCTGACTTTGTAATTATGAACAAAACACTATAATCACAGCGCCTCAGTATAATGGGCCTTTAGAACCTAATTCTTACACACTGCAACTATTCAAACAGCTAAAAAAAGAAAAGAAAAAAAGAACTCTTCACCTGATACCTGAAAATACCCCTCTCATATTCCTAAGTGACCCTCATTTCTGCCTGGGTCAGCTTCCATGTCAGTGAGCTCATTCTCCCAGGGAAACTTACTACATTGCCAGGAAACTCTTAATTGCTAGACAGTCTTTTCTTTTAACATGCTGAAATCAATATTCTTAAGCCTTCCAAGCTGGTTTCAGTTCTGCTGCTAAAGGCATGTAAACTCTAATATCTTTTCAACATTGAATACCATACACACTGAAGCATGTAGTGTACTTTATTAGGTAATGGGATAATGAAGACACATATCATTCCAGGTCTCTTAAGATTTTAAAACAAGTTGTTGCTTGTTAAATCAAAGCATTTTGTATTTGTTGAAATGTTCCTCAAATGGGATGGCTCAGATTCCTCTGATCATCCTGGCGGACTCCTCTGACTCTTTTAAGTTTGTCCAGATTTCTCTTAACAGCATTATTCCAGAACCTAACATGAGCTTTCAGTGTGGTCTGCTTGGAACACGCAATTTTGATTAAGGCAATCAACAACAGAAGCCTATTTCTTGGTAACCATGTCATCTGCTAGCTCCAAGTGAGCTCAGAGTCAATTTAATCCTAATTCTTTTTATTTACAAATTAAGTTACATCTTGTACATATACTTTTTCAGGATTTAAAATTTATTCCTACTGAACTTCATCTTAAATGAACTAAAAAACAAATTCTAGACTGTTAGAGTGATTAGAGAATTAGAATTCACTGTGTTATATTTAATTCACTACTCTACCTCATTGTATAATTTATGAATCTATATATAATGCAGGGGGAAAACAAACCATCAGTTGCAACTATAATGCTATTTTATTCATTTGTAATCTTCCCAGTGCTCAATATACACTTACCATTCTACCATATAAGGATACTTCTCTTCTACGCTAAGAACAGGATCAATTTCAATAGCGTAATATTTTTCCTTTAACTGCAATAACTAGGAAAAAAAATAATTTTATCATAAAGATTACAGAACTACAATTAATCCTCTTAGTTTTATAGAAAGCTAAATATTGTAAACAAGATTTCCATAAACTGCTTTATAAATTGAGCTGATATACCAATTGATTAAGGAGATATTTGTTGATCTCAGTTTACATGTAATTAAATATACCTGCAAAAAGCTACCTTTTTTTGGTTCTTTCAGGTGAGCAATTCAGTGACCAAGTAATAATCAGATTATCATGACAAAAAAACTTTAGTGTTCATATAAAAGTTTATAATTTATTTGCATTTTAAGTGGTATTTTGTTAAGATATAGACAAACACTTAAAGTACTGAGCATTTTCCTGATCAGTTTAAGGGAGCAAAACCTATGTAAAGTCAAAGCCCTTTTGTTTTAGTTTCCAGTTATTGGGATACCAGAGTCTTTTGGTAATCATTTAAAAGTTTCCAATCTAAGTTATCTTTAAAATATGCTGCAAATGTGTATTCATACAATAAATCTAATTTTTACTGAGTACTTACTATGTGTCAGGTATGGCTATAATCACTTTCATCAATTCTTGTATGAATGCACCTGAAGAAATTCTCAGGCAAAAAGAATATTGAAGTCTTTGAGCAACTCTGGACTAATGTTAGTATTTACCTTTTTCCGACATTCATCTGTAACCAGCTTACAGTTGTCAATGACATCTAAAGAAAGAAAGCAAAACAGGCATGAAAAGAAATACTGTTTGATGCTACCGCTATCATGAATAATTTGTTACTTTTAAGTTTAAATGCCTAGTCAGCTAATGTGGTTGTTACAACTTTTGGTTTCAGTGGTATAATTCACATGGTACTGCTAGAGAAGCCAATGGTGTTAAAATCTGAGATTAAGTGCTCACTTATACCACTGAGTCAGAAAATCCACTGCCTTCAAACACTGTATTGTTACCATTTTCTCTTTTTTAATTAAATAAAAGCAAGAAGTATATATTTGAAATAAACGTTCTTCTTATTAAGATAACAAATACTTAATAAAAAAATCTGGAAAATACAGATCAGGCACAGTGGTTCATGCCTGTAATCCCAGCACTTTGGAAGGCTGAGGTAGGAGGACTGCTTGAGCCCAGGAGTTCAAGACCAGCCTAGACAATACAGCGAGACCAAAAAATAAAAAAATTAGCTGTGTGTGGTGGCACAATGCCTGTTGTCCCAGTTACTTGGGAGGCTGAGGCAGAAGGATCACATGAGCTCAATAGGCTGAGGCTGCAATGAGCCATGATTGTGCCACTGCACTCTAGCTGGGTGACAGTGAGATTCCTATTTGAGAAAAAAAAGGCTGAGCTCGGTGGCTCAGCCTGTAATCTCAGCACTTTGGGAGGCCAAGGTGAGTGGATTGCATGAGACTGCAGGTTCGAGACCAGACTAGGCAACTTGGCAAGACCTTGTCTCTACAATAATAAAAAACTAGTTAGGCATGGTAGCGCGCGCCTGTAGTTCCAGCTACTTGGAAGGCTGAGGTGGAAGGATCGCTGGAGCCCAGCAGGTCGACACTGGGGTGGCCATGAGTGTGCCACTGCACTCCAGCCTGGGCGACAGAGTGAGGCTCCAACTCAAAAAAAAAAAAAAGAAAGGAAAAAAAAACCCTGGAACCTATAGATCACTGTAAAGAGGAAAACAAAAATTATTAATAGTTTTACCATTCAATAATAAATCACTAATATTATAATAGTATAGTATTATATTTCATTTCATTCTTAAAGTTTTATATATATCAATTAGATAAGCAATCATACCAAATCTATAATTTAGGATTTTTTTTTTCATTTCATATTGTAGTCTGTATTTTTCCATGTAATCAAAATCTCTAGTATGTGAGTAGGACAGAATTTATACCATTTCTGCAATGTTAACATTTTTAGGTTGCTTTTATGCATTTGATATTAGAAAAAATTTTATGTTGAGCTTAGTTACCATTATTTTTATAAATAAAGCTTGCTTTTCCCCTGCCTTTGGGGTTACTTGCTTAGAAATTCTTGAAAGAGAAATGACCAGGACAAAGGGTATGAAGACTTTTAGCAGTTTTAAAATATAAATTATTAAAATGATTTTTCAATTTATACATGTGCTAAAAATAAATGAGGGGGCTTATTTCATTGTTTCCTTGTTAGGTTGAAGAGTGTTATTTTAGAAACTCACTGCCAGATTGAAAAACAAAAAAAGGTATATTATCCTAGCAACACAATTTAACTTGAGACTTATTTAATAACTTATGATTTACGTAATTTATACATACACAAAAATTGGATAAAAGTTCTAGAAAACAGAGTATTTGATAAATGTTGTTTCTCTAGGTTAACCCAAAGTTTCAAACCAATTTAAGTATTTCCTCAATAATTAACATCATATTTGGCAAGAAATATTTCAGAAATCTCCATTCCTTTTGCTACTAAACCATATATGAAAATAGCCATTATGTAACACGGGGGAAAAACAAATCCTCAAGCTATAATAAGAAAAAGCAGGTTCCCTCACTTTCAATGTCCAAAAAGAACCTTTAAAACTCAATCATCTCACAGTTAATAAAAGAAACAAGGATCTTAAAATAACGATTACATACACTGATAAATTTGTTTCAGAATACCACACTTACTATGACATGTTGGGCATCTTTTCCCTTTGTAGGAAAATCTACTAAGTGTCATATCAAAGTCTGTTATTACCTGTAAGAAAAAGGAGAAAGGCATTATATAAATATAGCCACCATGGCCAGAATTTCCGTATGCTATTCAAATGCTTACTGCACACTTTCCTAGATGCAAGGGATTGTGCTAAGTCCCTGTTCCCTATTGTAGGTTATTCTCTCTATACTGTGTTTTCTCATGTAGTTCATTTATAAAGTCCTGGGAATGACTTTAACTACAAGGCGCTATCTTAAATGCCCTAGTGTTGTTACCAATAAAACTGATTAATTATTCAGCCATAAAAAAGAAATATTGTCATTTATAGCAACATAGATGAGCCTGGAGGTCATTATGTTAAGTGAGGCACAGAAAGAAAAATATCACATGTTCTCACTCATATGTGAGAGCTAAAAGTTGATCTCATGGAGGTAGAGATTAGCATGATGGTTACATGGGGCTGTGAAGGGTAGGAGGGTGGGATGGATGAAAAGAAGGTGGTTAATGGTTACAAAAATATTGGCTGAGCACAGTGGCTCATGCCTGTAATTCCTGACTTTGGGAGGCTGAAGTGAGAGGATTGCTTGAGCCCAGGAGTTTAAGACCAGCCTGGGCAACATAGTGAGACCACATCTCTATAAAAATAAAAAAATTAGCTGGGCCTGGTAGCACACTCCAGTAATCCCAGCTACTTGGGAGGCTGAGATGGAAGGATTGCCTAAGCCCAGAAGGTTGAGGCTGCAGTGAACTGTCCTTGTGCCACTGCCCTCCAGCCTGGTGACAGAGTGAGATTAAAAAAAAATACAGTTAGATAGAAGCAATAAATTCTAGCATTCAATAACATAATAAATAGGGTGAGTACAGTAAACAATATGTTATTATATACTTCAAAATAGATAGAAGATTTGGAATGTTCCCAACACAAATAATAAATGTTTGGGATAGTGGATATTCCAAGCACCCTGATTTGATCATTACACATTGTATGGTTGTGTCAAAATATCACATGTTCTCCATAAATATGTACAACTATAATGTATCAATCGAGAAATTTAAAAAAGTATGATTAATTAGTATAGAAATTTACAATTGCAGTTGAAAAGGTTACTCCTCTCACTAGAGATAAAACAGTGCATAATTTCAATCAACTTGGTCAATGTATAAAAATGTAGTGGAAGCAATTAAACTAAAAGAAGCTCTTAGTTTAGACATTGTTACATACTAGACTTGCTTATTTAAGGTACTCTATATTGATGAATGAATGACACATGAAAATAGCTTGCCAGCTCTTGAAACTTAGAAAATTGGGTTAAACCTTATTATTTAGAAAAATTTAAGCTGGGTGCGGTGGCTCACACCTGTAATCCCAGCACTCTGGGAGGTGAAGGCAAGATTACCTGAGCCCAGGGGTTTGAGACCAGCCTGGGCAACTTGGTGAGACCTCGTCTCTATAACAAATTTTAAAAATTAGCTGGATGTGGTGGTACATGCCTGTAGTTCCAGATACTTGGAAAGCTGAGGCAGAAGGATCACCTGAGCCCAGCAAGTCGAGGCTGTGGTGGCTGTGAGCATGCCACTGCATGACAGAGTGAGATTCCAACTCAAAAAAAAAAAAAGAAAAGAAAATGTTTAAAATAAGGAATACTTTTTAAATTGAATATCCAGATTGTTGGTTTAATTTACATTTAGAACATTCCTTTAAAAATAGAATTTTGGGGAGCAACCCCTTCAGGTTCTCTCCTGCTGTGGGAGCTTTTCTGTCCTCTCAATAATTCCTGCTTTCTAACTTAAAAAAAAAAAGATTAAAAAAAAAAAACTCAATCATCCTCTTAATAAGGTTACATCCTAATTTAAACTACTATAATTTATTTAAAACAAGGAAGAGAAACTTCAAACTATACATTTTTAAGTATTAGTCTTAAAATGGTTTAATAATTATGCACAGTATTAGTTAGCTTAATACTTAATACTAATGAAAACCTAAGTTTATCTCAAGATTATTAATTTTTGTTTGTTTTTCCAATAGGGATTCTATGTATTTAGAACAATCCCTAGTGTTTTTAGATTTCACATCTCTAAAGGACAGGCAAAAATTGTCTATCTAAAGTTACTTTATTCCGATTTTATCAAAATAGGAGATGAATAAGTCTGCTTAAGAATAAAGGCTTCTTGGTAATTATTTACCTGAAGTTTGGCAGCTCCTCCTTTTATAAGACCACAGATAATTTCTTCTACTTTTGTTGGGTTCTTGATGCGAACTGAACTCTTCTGGAATTCTGGCATCTAAAAAGTAAAAGGTTATTAATTAACTATTTAAAATTCCTCTTTCCCAGGTTCCATCCATACCAAGCAGAAGTTTATATTAATTGGAGATAGCAAGACCAGGAGTGGTGACTCAAGCCTGTAATCCCAGCACTTTTCAGGGCCGAGACAAGAGGACTGCCTGAGCCCACGGGTTCGAGACCAGTCTGGGCAACATGGTAAGACCTCGTCTCCACAATAAATCAAAAAATTAGCCAGGTGTAGTAGTGCATGCCTGTAGTCCCAGCTACTTGGAAGCCTGAGGCCGAAGGATCGCAAGAGTCCAGCAGGTTGACGCTGGGGTGGCCGTGAGTGTGCTACTGCACTCCAGCCTGGGCAAGGGAGTGAGACTTCAACTCAATCAGTCAATCAAAATGTTGAGGCATTACCTTAAAAAAGCAAGCCAAATTATCAAATTACCGTTTAAACACACAAAATTTAGTAGTTTCTGTCAAGGAGATTAAGATAAAATTGCATTTATAATTCAATTACTTTATCACAAAATATAACTTTTTGGGGGTTTTTTTTTCCTATTTTTGAGTTAAATTGGAGTCTCACTCTGTTGCCCAGTCTGGAGTGCAGTGGCACACTCATGGCCACCTCAGCCTTGACCTGCTGGGCTCAGGCGATCCTTCTGCCTCAGCTTTCCAAGTAGCTGGAACTACAGGCATGCCCCACTACACCTGGCTTAGTTTTTTAGAGATAAGGTCTCACCAAGTTGCCCAGGTTGGTCTCAAACTCGTGGGCTCAGGCAATCCTCTCAATTTGGCCTCCCAAAGTGCTGGGATTATAGGCGTAAGCCACTGCGCCTGGTAATTTTTCTAATTATAAAAGTAATGCAGTAGTTTCCATCAAGGAGATTAAGACTAAACTAAATTTCTAATCTATTACTTTATCAGAAAGTGCAATTTTTCTAATTATAAAAGTTATGCATGCTTACCATAAAAATACAAAAAAATTAAAATAGGTTGCAGTCCTACTACTTGAAGATAAACAAGTAAATGTTTAAATTTATTTTCTATTGGTTTCATTTCTGTGATTACAAGCATGTACGTATATATACATAGTTTTATCTCATTCTCATTATATACTTGTACATCTGGCTTTTAAAAATTATTACTATGACATATAAAATACATAAAAAATATTTTTAGGTCTGGGCATGGTTGCTCACACTTGTGATGACGTGGCTTTGGGAGGCTGAGGAGGGAGCATCACTTGAGGCCAGGAGTTTGAGAGCAGCCTAGACAACACAGTGAGACCCTGTCTTCCCCAAAAATAAAAAAATTACTCAGGCATGGTGGCACTTGCCTATAGTCCCAGCTACTTGGGAGGCTGAGGCTGGAGGACTGCTTGAGCCCAACAGTTTGAGGTTACAGAAGGGCTGGGGGTGGTTTGAGGCCCAGTTCATATTCCAAAATTGTAACTTTAGCAAAATAGCATTGTTGGTATTTAGAAAAATAAAAAATTTCAAATATGTATAAAAAAAAGTTTCTGAGCAAAAATGAAATAAATATTACATGATTATTCCTCAAAAGTTTGTCTTTATAAAGATAATTAAAATACATTTAAAATACGTTAAAGCTGAAAAGTTGCTTCAAGATCTTTGTTCCTTCTTATTGTACTGTGTCCCAAATAAAGTATTGTTCTTAGCATAAATTTTACAGTAGATTTATTCCAAATTAAGATAACTATGAAAAAGTACTGCGCTGTGTAGTGGTACATGCCTGCAATCCCAGCTACTGGGGAGGCTAACGTGGGAAGATCACTTGAACCCAAGAGTTTGAGATCAGCCTGGGCAACATAGTGAGACCCTCACCTCCAAAAAAAAAAGTATTAGACCACTTGGTTTAGGCTGCTACTAGGCTGGTTTATGAAGACTTCAGGGTCTCAAAAATTTAATGTCAAGTATTATTTCTTGCTTTTATCCGTAGCAAAGTGCTCTTACAGCATATGTACAGTATAACTGGGAGAAGAAAATTATGAATTGTTTTATAGTCAGTTATGCAGTATAGATAATAATAGTAGCTCAAATCCAAGCTCTATGCTGGTTTGTACTAGATAATCTTTATTTCTATATATGCTTTTATTCTGGGTATGTTATTGTTATTGCCAATATTAACGTATATCATGTGAGTTACAGACATGGTTATGAAAAATTCTCTACACCATATGTCTTTGCTATAAGAGAGTCTGCCCAGGTAAGTCTGTCAGGTCCCATGTTGCTCCTACACAGCAGACAAGAGTAGAAAAATTCGAAAAGGTTTAGAATGTTTTCAAAAGACTGGAAAATGGTAACAAAAGTATACAGGAAACAGAGGTACTAACATTAGACTTTTCTCCATGAATGAAAGACCTAGACCTATAATACACTTAATTTATAAAAGTCATATATATATTTTCTTGAGTTGGAGTCTCACTCTGTTACCCAGGCTGGAGTGCAGTGGCACACTCATGGTTACCACAGCCCCAACCTGCTGGGCTGAGGCGATCCTTCCACCTCAGCCTTCCAAGTTGTTGGAACTACAGGTGCGCACTATCACGCCCGGCTAATTATTTGATTTATTGTACAGACGACGTCTCACCATGTTACCCAAGCTGATCTCAAAACCCTGGGCTTAGGCAATCCTCTTGCCTCGGCCTCCCAAAGTGCTGGGATTACAGGTTGAGTCACCGCGCCTGGGCTAAAAGTCATATTTAAATAGGATAATCTGCAATCTACCTAACCTTGGTACAGTGATCCTTTTAACTTGACTGGACAACTTTCAATGGATTAAAGGTTATCTAAATATTTGTGATTTTTCAAAAGATGAGAAAGACAAATGGGCATTTCTTCCCACATTCCTTTTTTTAAAAATTCAATAATCCATTTGCTTGTCTAATCAATGTTTACCATGTGTCTACTTTATGCCAGATGTGTTTACCATGTGTCTACTTTCTAGATGCTGGGAATATAATAATGAGCAGTACTTACACTGTTCTCTTGCTGAATTTTAGGGACCATTGTTGTTTTGAAATTTCACTTTTGTAGCTCACTTACAAATACCTCAGCTGATCCCAGCACTTTGGGAGGCCGAGGTAAGAGGATTGCCTAAGCCTGCGGGTTTGAGACCAGCCAAGACAACATGGTGAGACCTCATCTCTACAATAAATCAAAAAACTAGCTAAGCGTGATAGCACACGCCTGTAGTTCCGGCTACTTGGAAGGCTGAGGCAGAAGGATCACCTGAGTCCAGCAGGTCAAGGCTGCGGTGGCCGGGAGCGTGCCACTGCACTCCAGCTGGGTGATGGAGTGAGACTCCAACTCAAAAACAAAACAAAACAAAACAAAACAAAAAAACCCAAATAGCTCAGTTGGTAAATTTATCTCTTAACAACTAAATTCTGTTCTTACCTCAGCCTCAACTGGCAGATGCATAGTAATCAGCATATGCTTGATTCAATAACCAACCCATTATAGTAAAAGCAACACAGGTATCTGTCCCCGACTATATTTTCACCAAAAAAATTAAATATTTTATTTCAGTGTGTCCACACTGAGTAAGACATCCTGCCTCAAGCAAATCACAACCTCAAGATTCAGATAATTGACAGGAGAATAGCACCAAGACCAATTCAAAGTAGGTTGGTTTCTGCTAGGTTAACAACTGTAATATTGGTCAATTCTAAATCACTATGGATGAACACGAACTAGTGGCTGGAAGTACTGGTAGCTCTTGTGTAACATACAGTCATTCATTTTCAGATAAATAAGTAGTGAATACCCAAATAGCACGGGAGTGAAATAGCAGGAATGACAGATCAAAGAGCAGTGACTTTCACCAGAGAACACAACAGGGTGAAGCAAATAGGTGTGAGAAGTATAAAAATAACTATTGTATCTACTCTGGGTTGTATGGTATACTACAATCCTCCCCCACATTACATATACAATGTTGCTAAAGTATATGAAAAATACTTCACAAGAACTTGAGATATTGGGCATTTTACTCAACTGTTTTAGAATGTAGACAAAGAAATAGAATAAAAGGTTACTGTATGAAATATGTCAAAGTATCAGTATATCAGCACACTGTAGGAGAATGATGAAAGACATTACATATTTTTGTTACCTCCACAAATTCCCTCCTTCGATAGTCCTCTTGGACAAAAATAGAACTTGTTTGGTGGCACATAAAATAATGATACTTCGAATCTGAAGGGCAAGTTATTTTGAATTGTCTAAAAACTTTTTTATTCGATTGTGATACAATTTTATGGACAATAAATACGGAGCTAAAAATTTCCATCATTTGTAACAAAAATAAAACAATTTCCCTTTATAGTAAGCTCATAATGTAAAATGTTGGGAAAGGAGCAAAGTTTTCCTGAAAATAACCAGAAATATGTTAGCTGATTAGAGCTTAATCTGAATCAACACTAAAAATGATTAAGACATAAAATACATTTCTCTAACTGATCTTTAATATACTGTATTTATACAGATGAAATAAACTCTTGAATTATTAGTCTACTTCCAAATTTAAAAAGCAATAATTTTTTTTTTTTTGAGTTGGAGTCTCATTCCGTCGCCGAGGCTAGAGTGCAGTGGCATGCTCACAGCCACCCCAGCGCCGACCTGCTGGGCTCTGGCAATCCTTCTGCTTCAGCTTTCCAAGTAGCCAGAACTACAAGCGTGTGCTACCACGCCCAGCTAATTTTTGATTTATTGTAGAGACAAGGTCTCACCAAGTTGCCTGGGCTAGTCTTGAACCAGCGGGCTCAGGCAATTCACTCGCCTTGGCCTCCTAAAGAACTGGGATTACAGGCTGAGCCACCAAGCCCAGCCAAAAAGCAATAACTTTTAAAGAAATTGATTTCAAAGTTATGCCATCTTATTCACAACTCAATAGCAATATTAGACTATTTGATAATATCTTTTGGATACCTTAGGACAAGATAAATATGAGTATCTCCATAGCAGTTACCAAATTTTGGGGCATTATCATCAATCTGATGATAATGTCCCAGACTAATGATCAGCCTAATCCCCAAGATAAGATTACAACAACTTCAAAGTTTAATTCTGTTTAAACTATCATTTAAAACTATAATGGTGGCTCATGCCAGTCATCCCAGAACTTTGGGAGGTCAAGGTAGGAAGATTGCTTGAGCCCAGAAGTTCAAGATTACCCTAGGCAACATAACAAGCCCTTGTCTCTGTAAAAGATAGTAACAATTAGACAGGTGTGTTGGTGCACACCTATAGTCCCAGCTATTTGTGGGGGCTGAGGTGGGAGGATTGCCTGAGCCCAGGAGGTCAAGGCTGTGGTGAGCTGTGATTGTGCCACTGCAGTTTGGCCTGGGTGACAAAATGTGATTGTGACTCAAAAACAAAACAAAACAAAACCCAAAAAACCCAAACCAAAACCATAATGTTAAATTTAGATTTTTTAAAAGTGCATTACATTTACAATAATGTATTGTTATTCTTAAACTGAAAGCAACAAAACAAATAAATTAAGAGTTACTATATAGTGGACCTTAAACATCTATTGTAATACTATAAGAAAAGGATTGACAGTGGTGGGAAACTATGGCAGGTGGAGGGAGGTGGGATTAACAGTAGCCAATATCTGTCTGGGGATGGGGAGAAACCCCTTATCAACAAGAGTGCCTGAACGATGCATATTTGTATACCTAACCTTTAACTGTACCCCACCATTTTAAAATAAAAAATATAGATAAAAAAAAAGAGTTAGTATAATTCACAATATATAGTGAGTATAATTTGTATTTTAACCAAAGACCAAAAAAATTACTTGCACTTTTTTTTTTTTGAGTTGGACTCTTACTCTGTCACCCAGTCTCGAGTACAGTGACATTATCATAGCTCACTGCAGCCTTGAGTTCCTGGGCTCCAGTGATCCAGCCTCCCAAATAGCTGGGACTACAGGCATATGCCACCATGCCCAGCTAATTTTTTTGTAGAGATGTGGTCACACGATGTTGCCTAGGCTAGTCTCAAACTCTGGGCTCAAGCAATCCTCCTGCCTTGGCCTCTCAAAGTGTTGGGATTATAGGCATGAGTTCCCACGCCTGACCTACTTATACTTTTAATTTATGTATACATATGCTCACTTCTGTGGGTTTTTTTATTTTTTATTTTTTTGACGTCTCATTCTGTCACCCAGTCTGGAGTATAGTGGTTTGAGCCATGGTTCACTACAGCCTCGACTTCCTGGGCTCAGGCGATCTTTTTGCTTCAGCCTTCCAAGTAGCCAGGGCTATAGGTGTGTACCTCCACACCCAGCTGATATTTTTGTAGAGACGAGATCTTGCTTTGTTGCCCAGGCTGGTCTCAAACTCCTGGGCTCAAACAATCCTCCCACTTTGGCTTCCCAAAGTTCTGGATTATAGGCATGAGCTACTGTGCCTGCCCTTCTGTGAGTTTTTAATTACTATAATATTATATTAATATTAATATTTTTCTGGAAACAGCTTACATAACTATTAGTTTAAATCACTTATGAATTTCGGTCAGATGATCTCAGAAAAATATTCTTTCTTGGCTTTCCATTGTTTATATTTGTTACAGACAAAAGACTTCATTACTGTACCACTACAAAAAAGTGGGCACTATAATTTTTAGGCAACTACATAAAAAGCACAGATTTAAAGCCACTTGTTCAGACTGGTACAGTTACCTACACACAGAGGTGATTCTATAATTTATTTGGAAGATTATGTATCACTAAACTTTAGTGACAACCATCTCTCCTGCCTATCACATATTTGGCCTATTTCCACATTAAGATGAATTTTATTCAGTCACCACATAAGTTATTAAGCAAAAGGCACTGTGTTAAGCAGATCTGTAAGTGATAAAACAGTTTTAATAAGAGACACGTCTTACACTCAAAGTGCATATTCTCTAAAGTGGACTGTAATACAGAAAACCATATAATACATTGTCAAGATGTCCAGGTAAGATCTAAGAGGAACAGAAGAAACAAGGGTTACTTCTGCTGGAGCAAAAGGAGGAGGAGCTGACTGAGCAGGTTTTGGAAGAGAAAAAGGAACCGCATATGCTGAGATTGGAGAGGAGTCAAAGTACAGGGTATAATGTGGGAAAAGGAGAAACAACTTTGTTTGTCTAGGACTTAAGTGTACACAAGGAAGAGTATTTCATGAGAGGTCTGGAAGGAGAGATTGGAAGCCAGATCATGAGAAAGGAAGAACAACACCCTACAGAATTGTCATCATAAGTGCTCTAGTAACACTTTTAGAAAAGTAAACTTGAGGTAAAAATTATGTAAAAAAAACCTATCATTAATGCAACGATAGTTTTTTAAAAATCGCCTTTTGGCTTGTTTTCCTTCAACAGTCTGAACAACTGTGCGCTAAGGATATTGTTACTTGTTTCTAAAAGAGAGACCTACTGGAGCTGTCTAGGACCCAATTAATAACAAATTATACAGAGGGTACAGTTAACATCACATTTTTATGGTAGGAAATTCCTATACTACTTGTGTCCATTTTGGTTAAAAAAAGATCGACTCAAACAAGAAAACAAGGTTTAGAGTGGTTTAATTCTACATACCTGGTATGCTCAATCCCAAAGAATCAAGTGCTAATCATAAATGGATACAAAGTCATGACTATGTTACTAGGTTCAACCATATGAAATTGGAAGTATATTTGACATATAAAAACAATAATTTCATATGCTTCAACCTAACAGCAATAACTAAACTGATGATGACTTAATCAGCATTTTGAGTCAATTTTCAACTCCAATTATATACTAATTGACAGAAAGTTGAATAAGAGACTGATTAAAGTGTGACACAATGCTGTTTGCTTGCTAAGTCATGTCCTAATTTTTATAGGCCAGAAAAAAGCTAGAGAGAAAGAGAAGGCAGAAAAAAATAAAAAGAGAAGAGGAAGAAGAACAACAAAAAGAATAGAAAGACAAAATAAAGAGACCATGGGGCAGTTGTCTTCTTTAAAAGAGGGGATTTTTTAAATTGTCATTTTAAAGATTTTATCATTTGACTATGGAGAGCAGATGTAATTTCTTTCCTACACACACAAATAAATGTTACTTACATGGTTAAAACACTCACTAACATAATACAGAAGATTAATTTTACTGAGTGCTTAATATGTGCTATTACTAACTTTATACATATACTTTTTCATTAAGTATAAATGAGAACAACATGAGGTTGGTGGTTTCAGATCTATTTCTTAAAGGAAAAATTATTGCCCTCATTCAAACATATTACAGTTATTTAAGGAATGACCTAAGGTTTGAAACCAGTTCTCATTCCAAAGACTGTATTTTTTCTACTTCATCCTAGTGTATATAGTGCAAAGAACTCTAACATTTTTTAAAAATTTGGGCTTCGTGCAGTGGTTCACACTTGCAATCCTAGTTCTTTGGGAAGGCAAGGTGGGAGGATCACTTGAGGAGAGGAGTTTGAGACAGGCCTGAACAACATAGGAGACCTTGTCTAGAAAACAAACAAAGCTGGACACAGTGGCTCACGCCTATAATTCCAACACTTTGTGAGGCCAAGGAGGGAAGACCGCTTGAACCCAGGAGTTCAAGACCATCCTGGGCAACATAGCAAGACCTCATCTCTATTTTTAAAAAATTGCTTGTCATTTAAATTCACAAGACTACAATAAAATACTTTTCACACTGTATGGTTTAAGTGTGTTATTGCTGAGCAAAGAAAATTTTGTATAAAAAGGAATAGAGTAACCATTTTATATTCCAAGAAACACTATGATGTACATTAGATTTCAACAAGAAAATTTCAAAGATAATTTGAAATTCAATTAAATAAGTAGTAGATATTCTATTGAGTGTCAAGCATTGTGAAGAAAGATCTGTATAAAGTTTCAGTCCCATAATTATCTGGTTAGAGACAGAGGTAAAAGTGGTGGAGATTCACCATTAATAAATGGAACTGGAGATATTCAAATACCCACCATTTTCATATGTACAGCAGACTCTTGATTAGTCATTTCTTGGTTATCCAATCTTCTGGATTTCCCCAGGTGATGTCACAGCAAAAGAGAGAAAAAAAGGCACACGTGACATACATAAATTTCAGGCTCTTCCTGTACGCTAATAACAAACTAAGGTGGTACTTTTGGTATGATCTAAATACCAAATTTTGTTACAAGCATCTTTTTTTCCTCTAGGAATCTCAGCAAAAGTTTTTATTCTGTCTGGCATAGTTTTGGGTTAAACATTTTATATGAAGAATCTGAAGTTCTCCTATAAGGATAACGTAAATGATGTTAAGAAAAACTAAATAAAGAGAGAAAAGGTACATGTTTGCAAAAAACTCCCACTTTGTTGCAAGAATATTTTTAATCAACATTTTCTCTGCATGTAAGGATGAAGTATGTGGTAAAATTATGTGTTGTTACTCTACTGAGTCAATGCAGGAATATAAATAGAACAAAGTAAAGAAAAACATAATACACAAAAGTCAAATTTTCCTATGTTAAAACATTTAATTTTGTGATAGGATATGATTAAGATCTGAATTGTGTTTGAATCTAGCATAGTATCTGGTACAAACTAGGTATGTGACAGTGTTTGTCAAAGGAATTAGTATTTTAGGAATTTGGATGAAGTTTTTATCTATCTACTCACCAAACAAAAAGAGGGAGTTTCAAAAATATCCCTCATCTAAAATTTTTTTCTTTTTAATAATCTTAGGGAAAGTTATTATTATAATAGAATATATAATAATATGATGATTATTACTGTTGCTCTATAATGATTTTATTTTGACTTTACCGCAGATAAGTAACATTTTATAATCAAAGCACTGTTTAAAGGGACAACTTAGTTAAAGACAGGAAAAAAATCTGACTTTTTCTTAAGCTCTAGTAACAGAAGTTGGACAATAGATCTGTTATTCATAATTAAAATATGCTACAACAGATATATCAAATTTTGTTAAATTCTAAGATCCAACTCCCTCCCCCATCCCATTTTAAGTCTATTAAATAGTGAAATGTTCCCCACTCCTCAGAAAGGCCGCTAATAAGTTCATGGTCACATAATTGATGGCATCTTAGAATTGAATAAACAATATTTCCAAGTAGTAAGATGATAGCAGCTATTTTTCACATCTGAGAAATAATGCAGTATCTACAGAAGAGAGAGAGAGAGAGAGAGAGAGAGAGAGAGAGTGAGAGAGAGAGAGTGTGTGTGTGTGTGTGTGTGTGTGTAAACTTGTAATATCTTCCATTCTTCCTAATTCTCACTGGCAATCTGACCAAAATTGATCTTCATTCAAAGATAATCTCATATAAAGTGATACTGCAGTCCTGATACAAAAATCACTGAGGTCTATATCATTAGAAAAGTATAAAGACTAAGGCATACACACTCTATACAACTCAGAAAACATTTGATCACCATCTCCAAAATATAATTATAATGGTAGCTTGGGGGTTAGTAGTCTTTAGTTTAGATGATTATAGTCAAATTTAAGTAAACTTTCCTTGTTCTAACTTCTTTCTATCATAGTCATTTATCATAGTCATTTATGTGTCATAGTCAATTATCTTTAACAAAGAAGATATCAAGTATAACTGAAGTCAGTACAAGTCTGTTTCTTCATTTATAGCAATCAAAGCATAAATTAAATGCTTTTCTTTGATGTTTAATATCTGAAAAATGGTCTAGATTTCTCAAAAGGCACTATTTAAATAAAACCATTTTATTAGCTTGAAAAGAAAGGAAAAAGAGTATGGAAAAGTACAGCAGAGTTCATAAAAATACCACATAATCTGTGAGACATTTGAAAAGCCCCAAACAGAGTTCAACCAACAAAGAATTAAATACATTTTAATATCTGAGAATCTAAGATCTTTTTGTCTCACACAATCAGGTAGCACAATTCCTCTCCAGTCTCCACCTTCAAGTATGGTTCTTTTCAGAGCAGTCATTTTTAGTTGAGAGAAAAGAATAATATTTCTGATGGTTTCATCAAATTTTATTTAAACAAAAAACAAAGAAATTTGATAATGACCAACTAACTGTAGGGCATTTAAAATATAGTAAACCTAACAATTCATGGATATTATACAAATTTTAGCTGGAGATCTTTCATTCTTACCAATCTTCATTGGCAATCTGACCAGAACTGATCTTTGTTCAAAGATAATGTCACATAAAGTGATACTGCAGTTCTTATACAAAAATCACTGCAAGATCTGTATCATTAAAAAAGTATGGGCCAGGGGCGGTGGCTCAGCTAGTAATTCCAACACTTTGGGAGGCCAAGGCAAGAGGATTGCCTGAACCCAGGGGTTCGAGACCAGCCTGGGCAACCAAAAACTAGCTGGGTGTGGTGGTGCGTGCCTGTAGTTCCAGCTACTTGGAAGGGTGAGGTGGAAGCATCGCCTAAGCCCAGCAGGTTGAGGCTGCAGTGGCAGTGAGCATGCCACCGCACTCCAGCCTGGAAGACAAGAGTGAGGCTCCAACACATACATACACAAAGTGTGGCTGGGCATGGTAGCTCACACTTGTAATCCCAACAATTTAGGAGGGCAAGACAGGAGGATTGCTTGAACCCAGGAGTTTGAGACCAGCCTAAACAACAGAGTGAGACTTTGTCTCTACAAAAAATAAAAATAAAAAAAAGTAGCCGGGTGTAATGGTGCATGCCTGTAGTCCCAACTACTCAAGAGGCTGAGGTGGAAGGATCACTGAGTCCAGGAAGTAGAGGCTGTGGTGAGCCATGGTCTGGGAGACAGAGAGAGACCTTGACAAAAAAAAAAAAAAAAAAAAAGTGTAATGACTAAGGCGTAAATGTCAGCATTCTGGCACTATTCTAAGGAAGACACTGAAAATTAGGGCAGGGTATTTTTAAACCAATAGGCTTGTAAACCTACACCTGGTATATAAAGTTCTGGTTTACTCTGCCAATGGTCATCTGTTGCAGATGCTTCAAGAGAAGAGTTGCTGGAAAAAACACATCAAGTGTAGACGCATTCAAAAATAGAAAATACTACCCTTGAACGATGAACACTCTTCAAAGGAAGTTTCAAAGCTTTAAAGTCTTTGGAATATTTATATGTGGACTGGAAAATAATGACTTTGAGTACTTTGTGTCTGAGGTTAAGGTCTTTACTATAACAGTGTCCATTACAAGGAATATGTAAGGTCAAGGCTAAAGACTGAAGCAAGAGGTAAGAGCTGCATTTCACTAGCACAAACTTGATGACTGAAAATTTTAGTTATCGTGGTATATTATTCTAGGATGATTATAAGTCAATTAAGGAAGACTAGCATGTCTACATTTAAAAAATACTTGCTTTAAAACAAATTTTAGAGTCTCTGAATGCAAACTGAATACTTTAAAAGATCCACTTGACTCTGTCTTACAGAAAAATGAAAAAGATTAAATTTGTTAATACAGTTTTAAACGCTGAGACTGCTTTAATTTTGATAATTTCAGAAACATGTAGACTATAATGATAAGCTAATAAAGTTGTGAATGGTAAACCGTATATTACATAAGAAAAAGCATATATTACTATAATAGGAACACAGTTATCAGCAATAGTACTAAACATCCATGATGAATCGATTTTTACTACACTTTTCTAGCAGTACTATTTGTCTTAAGCTTGGGTTTTAAAATGTCACTTTCTTAGGGTAATTAGCACATGAAAAGCCAAACTGTACATTTGTTTTTTTCTGGAGGGTTATAATCTTTTCCTTGGGGGCATTTACATAATTTTCCTTCATTAGAATTTCAACTGGGGAGGGGGAATATGAACTGGAAAGTGAAATTTTCTTGATACAGACAAAACAAAAGTGAAACAATAGCAAAATGTGGGAGAGGAAGAGGAAGATGTAGGAGGAAAGAAGAAAAAAAAAGATTTCAAAGCCTAGTTATTTAAAAATTGGCAATTTATACCAATTTTATTAAATGGTAAAATGTTATGGCTACTTACAAAAAGAAATGATTTCTATTTCTCTATCCTTCCTACCTTCCCTGTCTCTAGTACCTAATAGAATTTTTCGAGATAAGTAAACCAAGGCACATGGAAACTAAATAATATACTGGGCAGTCCTCAAATCACTCTGAGTTGTTCTGTCCTTGAATCTGTCCTAGAACAGCATAGGTGACAAGCAATATCCAGAGATGCAGGGCTTAGTTGCAGGCTGCCAATAAGAACCAAGCAAACTGCTTAAAGAAATGGTCTGCTGAATGATCTAATTTTCAGATTTAAAGGGAAAAAAAAAATCCCATAAAATGTGGAGAATTTAGTTATCAAAAATCTAATTCAGCCATAATAGTCTAGGTTTTTACTGGTATTCAAATATTTGAATCTTAATTTTCAATATATAATGTTAAAAATCAGTAATCTAGCTTTTGTCAATTTATAAAATATACCAATACAGTCCCATTCTATTATGTGCTGGGTAAAGCTCACGCACTAAATAAAGATTCTTTATTTCTAGTCATAAAAAACTGTTCCTAATCCTAGTATGTGTTTATCCGCAAAATTAAATCACATTACAACTGAATGAACAACAAAATCCAGTAGTGTTTCCCCCCAACTTGGAAAGAGACTTCTGAGGGTACTTTGTTTGTTCTTAATATCTACATGTCAAATAAGAAGTTCTTAATATTAGAATGTGTACAACATAACATCTAAATCCTAAGACTTCAAAGTTTTGCACTCATATCTTCACAAATTATATAGAAGTTATTATGCCTTACACTGGATCATTTTTTACTTCCTAAGTTTGTATATTAAAAGGCCAAAATTTCACCAAGATATAAAGTCAAATAAGAATCATATAAAGTTAACAAGAGAAACACATCTGTTTACATGAACTGTACACACTTACCCTGAAGGTAACCGGACGAGTTACACCAGCAAAAGAAAATTCTTCCTGTCTGAGAAGTACTAATATAGCACAAGGTGCAATTGAGGGCGGTTCCAAAAGCCTTGACTAAGCCTTATGCAAAAACCTTGTGACGTACTGCTGCATGCTGTTTTATTATGCTCTGTGCCACAGCCTTGCTAGCTCTGAGCTAGTCACCGGTCCACAAAATCTAATCAACTGAAATTACATGGAGGTTAAGAGAAGGTAAATGTGTGCTACTAGATCACAGGCATCTGGCTCTGCAAAGAAAAAAGGAACCCCTACGTTAGCAATCAACACTTATATACATTCCTTTCCTCATGGTTTGTATGTGGCTTTTTCAGTGTACTTGTGATATGTACACTTTTCTGTATAAATACTGCATTTCAAAACAACGTAAAAAAGATTACATTGAGGTTTCTGGGTTTGGGGGAAGGAGGATTGCTCAATGGGTACAGAGTTTCAGTTTTGGGAAATAAAGAGAATTTCGGAGGCAAATGGTGGTGATGATTGCAAAGCAATGTAGACATAAAGCCACCAAATTGTACACTTAAAAATGGTTAAAATGGCACCTTTTGTAATACGTATATTTTACCACAATTTTGTTTGTTTACTTATTTATATTTCTTTTGAGGCAGGTTCTCACTCTGCTGCCTACACTGGAGTGCAATAGTGCAATTGTAACTCTCTGCAGCTTGGAACTCCTGGGTTCAAGCAATCCTCCTGCCTCAGCCTCCTGAGTAGCTGGGATTACAGGCGTGCCCCAACACACCTGGCTAATTTTTTAATTTTTTTGTAGAGACAAGGTCTCGCTATGTTGCCCAGGCTGGTCTTGAATAATCCTCCTTTCTTGGCCTTCCAAAGAGCTGAGATTACAGGCAGGAGTCACTGTACCAGACTAATTTTACCACAATTTCTAAAAAAAGCTTAGCTCATTTAATCCCCATGAGTAAGAAGACATGATACATACAAGTGTGGTCTGTAGAATATTACCAGTCTTTATCGAAGGGCAATGGGATTTAAAAGAGTTTTATGTTTTTCTTCATCTTTTCCTACATTTTTGGTAAACTTTAATAAGACCATGATATAAAACTTGAAAACAATAAAAAATATTTCTAATTTTAAAAAGCTGAGGAAAAAAGTTCCTTTCTGATTAGAAATAAAATCAAAGTGTTGTGAAGAAAATATTTTTATTTTTTGTTTTCAAAGAGAACCAGTCTTGCTTTCAACTTGAGTACTAGAGTGGCAATATGCTAATACCATGTGTCAGGACCTGATAAGTTAGGTTTGGGGCTCTGGGAAGCTTTATCATTAGAAACAGGACTAAGCTACACCTATGTAAATAAAATTTTGTATCAGTTTGCTTTCTACTGCCCTCAGAGAAATCTAGTCCAGGTAGTATTTCAGTAACCAAACTCTGTGAAGTATCATTCTCTATGAACAATAACACAAACAACTTGAAAATCATGTTTAAAAAAGAGCACTAACAAATTATTCAAATTTGGTACCTACTAAATGTGAAATTTTTGACACTGCAATCTTATTTTTATCTTATTATTTTCTGAGTCGGGGGCGTCTCACTCTGTTGTCTAGGTTGGATTGCAGTGGCCACACTCAGCCACCTGAGTACCTAGGAATACAGGTGCACACCACCACACCCAGTTAATTTTCTTATTTCTTATTTTAGAGATGAAATCTGGCTCTGTTGCCTGGTCCTGTGCACAAGCAATCCTCCATCTCAGCAATCCTCCCAGCTCATCCCAAAGTACTGGGATTACAGGCATGAGCCAACACACCCAGTTTTTCTGTCTTATTTTAATAAAATAAGATTCATAAAACATTTATCTAAGAGGAAAACTTATTATATCTAATTAGTAATGGAGGTTCAGGGCAGCAGATGTGCTCCATTTCTAAGATATTTCTGTATAATGCATGAAAATAATAACTGTCCTTTAATATATTACTACACAGCTAGCAATTATAAGAATTTTAAATATATCATTTTGAAAGATGACTCACAGGTAGAATCACCTTCAACAACAACAAAGAATGTTGGAATTATAGTTCCATAATCTTTTTGGAAGTCTATTTAGAAAGAACATTAAAAGTCTTAGAAATATATACTCCCCTTGACAACCAATTTTGCGTCTAGTAATTTATCCCACAAAAGATTTAGTTGCAGATTTGTTTTATAATACTGGGAAACTGTAAATAACCTAAGTTCCCCAAACCTAAATGTTCACTAATACATGAGTGTTGAATTGATTATGATATACACATAACATGTAAAATTATACTGCTCTTAAAAATGATTATGAATAACTATAATTTACTATGTTTACAATGTGCCAGATGCTTCTAAGCTCAGTGTGGTTTTAATTTGCATGAAATCATATTTCTAAAGCAAGGAAAGAAGCAAGGAATTAAGCCAACCTACTCTAAAATAAAACACTTTATGACATGAAAGAAAGCTGGCTAGTGTGTGTTCTCTCAGGGTACGTGATTTGGGCTTAGCTGGAGCTCCAGTCCTATTGTATGATACTAAGGAGAGCAGAGAAAACAAGAAAGATGGGTATCGCTTCGATAAAGGACTACTTCATCCTTTTAATTCCAGCAGGAACTGTGTGCATGTGGTAAAGGTAGAGGCAGAGGTAGGATGGTGTGCCTAGTGGGGTATTTGAGGAGGGACTAACATTGATAGAGCACTTTCCTGCTTTTTTTGTCAGAGACCTGGAAGCATGTGATAGCCCTTTACATACATTCTAATTTAATAAGTATAAGCTTAAGGGAAAGATAACATATTCTCCTTTTTATATATAAGGAATCTGAAATCTGAGAAGTTGAGTCACTCATTATTTATGTGACTTATGTACAAGAGTTGAAACACTTTTTTTTAATTAAAAAAAACTATATCATGCACTCTTGAAGCAATAATATATACATAACATATGAGAGAACTTGAGAAGTCTACAAATGAATGTTTTGAAAATGTGCCACAGGAAAGGAACAAGGATGTGAGCAAAGCACTGAACGAAAGACACTGAAGAAAACAGCACTAGAATTTTTTTTTTTTTTTTTGGAGATGGGATAGAAAGAATATAGAATTAAGAAGTCATAAAGACAGTTCCTTAACAGCACAATGGACTTTCACCTCGGCACACAATGACTAGGCCCCGTTGCCTTGGAGTTTCTTTACTCATTGACATACAAACGGAAATCACTCCAGGATCCTAATGGCAGGCAAACTCTAGATTTGAAATTCATATGCAGCCTGAGTGCGGTGGCTCAAGTCTGTAATTCCAGCACTTTGGGAGGCCAAGGTGAGAGGACTGCCTGAGTCCACGGGTTCGCGAACAGCCTGGGCAACTTGACAAGACCTCGACTCTACAATAAATCAAAAATTAGCCAGGCATGGTAGTGCACACCTGTAGTTCCGGCTAGAACTACAGCCAGAAAGCTAGGACAGAGGATCGCCGGAGCCCAGCAGGTCGACGCTGGGGTGGCCGTGAGCATGCCGCTGCACTCCAGCCTGGGCAATGGAGTGAGTCTCCAACTCAAGAAAAAAAAATTCATATGCCAAAGAGCAGAGAACTTCTCATACAGGACTTAAATCTTGGAAGATTATTTTTCTCCTCTTATAACACGAAACTGGGATCTTTATCAATAGAGAAAGGGATATCCATCTGTATTTTTGAGCAAAATTAGTTAGAACTTTTAGATACTGTCCATTATTCAATCAACAAGAAAAATACAAATTATCACTTCATATTTTGGCATGAAAATATCTCAGAAATTCCAAATAATGAAAAAACAAAAAGCCCACAGAAAATAAAATCTATCAATTTAAACTTTAACTTTTTTTTTTTTTGAGTTGGAGTCTCACTCGGTCGCCCAGACTGGAGTGCAGTGGCCGCTCCTGGCCACCGCAGCCTCGCCTGCTGGGCTCCTGGCGATCCTTCCACCTCAGCCTTCCAAGTAGCTGGAATTACAGGCATGCACTACCACGCCCAGCTGATTTTTTGATTTATTGTAGAGATGAGGTCTCGCTGCCCAGGTGGGTCTCGAACCCACGGGCTCAGGCAATCCACTCACCTCAGCCTCCCAAAGGCGCGGGATTACAGGCTGAGCCACCGAGTCCGGCAACTTTTTAAAAAAAGATACAAAACATCAGTCTACATATGTGACTTCTCTTCAGACTTCCATGAAGGAGACTTCAGTACTGTGAATGTTCAAAACAGAAATGAAACAGGCTACTATAAATGTTTATATGAATATAGTTTACAATGTATAAATAAGGAGCAGAAACAGATGCTGCCCATGCTATAGTGCAGTGGTTATTCACAGGTGCAAGCCCACTTTTTTTTTTTTTTGGAATTGGAGTCTCTGTCACCCAGGCTAGAGTGCAGTGGCAGGCTCACGGCCACCCCGGCATCTACCTGCTGGGCTCTGGCGATCCTTCTGCCTCAGTCTTCCAAGTAGCCAGAACCACAGGCATATGCCACTACACTCAGCTAATTTTTTATTTTTATTGTGGAGATGAGGTCTCGCCAAGTTGCCCAGGCTGGTCCCAAACCTGCAGTCTCAGGCAATTCACTCGCCTCGGCCTCCCAAAATGCTAGGATTACAGGCTGAGCCACCCAGCCTGGCCCAATCCCACTTCTTATCAGAACAGGAGTGTTAACTGCTCTATTTCAGACTTGGGCCAGTTCATGCCTCCTTAGGCAACCTTGCAGTCTCTTTCCCAGGAGGACACCATAGTGATACCAAAAGTGTGGACACCTGAGTGGCATACTGCACTACAGTCCAGAACTCCTGGGCTCTAGTAATCCTTCTGCCTCAGTCTCCTGAGGACTATAGGCACTGCGTCACCATGCTTGGCCTCATAAGGTTTTTATCATTTAAAATCATTGTTTATCCTAGATGACCATTAGTGAAGCTGGTGGCTGAATTTAAGAATTTATAAACATATATACATGCAAACTGAGTAAAACCTATGGTTCCACCTCTACATATTTCTCACAAACTTTGCAAAAATCTAGATTAAGTAATTTTTCAGAAACCCAAATGAAGTTCTTAAACAGGGACTATATCTTTTTTACTTTCTTACTTTAAAAGCATGAAATTCTATAGTTTAAACTCTTTTAGAGGAAATGACATTTACGTTGCAATAGACAGGTCAAGAAAATATGATGTAAGACAATAACATAAATGAAAGAAGTCTTTCCTAACTCTCCTTTCAAATGCTGTACGTTTTAATATTTCAAGATGCTTA